CGTCCGGAAGATCATTCGGCTTCTCCTGGCATATGAGACTGAGGAAACTGATGAGAGACTGTTCTTAAGACTAATTATTCTGGCGTGATAGCAAAAACCGAAGAATGGAGATGTTGCATGTGTGAGAGATTTGCGATTTGACCATTGATTCTTATGTAAAAGTTCGCGAGAAACACGATGTTGCCACTGGTTTCCTCTGAAATCATCTCTCAAGCTCAAAAAAAGCTCTCAAAGTGAGGCCAAAATGGAGGGGATATCCCACCCTACCCTCAGAGTCCGTCTCTACATCAAAACAAACTCTCTATACATAGATAGGGAGCAAATAATACATTAGCAGGGTTGCCACTTTATTAGGGGACTCCAAAACTGAAATCACGGCATCACTGCTAATGCATTTGCTCCCTATCTTTGCATGGGGAACTTGTTTTGATGTAGAGGTGGACTCTCAAGGTAGGGCGGGATATCCCCTTCATTTTGGCCTTACTTTGAGAGCTTATTTTGAACTTGGGAGATGATTTCAGAGAAAACCAGTGGCACCATCGTATGTTTCTTGCGAACTTTTACATGAGAATCAATGGTCAAATCGCAAATCCCTCACACATGCAACATCTCCATTGAAAGCGCTCTGCCATTTTAGATTCGCGCAGTGATAGTTCACTCCAAGCCGTGGATGAAGTGGTGAGTGCCCGGACAATCAAAACGCCTTCCGTTTCGTGCGTAGGCAACACGGACATCCATGGAGCTCGAATAGTTGCATCCAGGAATTAAGATGAATTTTGTATTGTGTTCGTCTCCTTTGAGTTCGACACTAATTAAGGGAGCTTTGTTCGTTTCTCCTACAGCGTGACTTAATTCCAGCATTGTCTATTATGCCGATGAAGTAATCTACCTATTACTGATTTTCATTACGACAGTATTCCGCTTTTCACCATGTATACAAAGTGTAACTCAGAGCATTGAGCCGAACCAGACTAAGATGTCAGCTTGATTGATTGGACAGCGTTCATATTTCTTATGATTTCAAAAAAGATTTCATTAAAATTTCTAGTTTTTTATATTTTTCTTCAGGTAATACCCAGGTTTTTCCCAGACCTGATGAAATTCTGTTCTGATTTTCGAGACTTGTAACCAACCTGTATTTGTATGCTGATTCTGTTTTCTCAGTCAATGTGGCAGGGTGATCAAAATTTCGCGATGAGAATCATTTTAATTAAGGGTAATACTTTCAATTGAATTTCAGATTCCTGATTCGGCTTACCGAAATCAAGAACTGAGGACTTTTTCGGTAAAAGGGCGTTAAAGGCTTTCAATGCTGCCGAGATTGTGCAATTTTTATAGAGTTTGCAGTAGATGAAATTTATTCA